TTTAAATTTTATGTGTATGAGTGTACTGCCTGCACGTATGTGAGTACACCCATGTCATGCAATGCCGCAGAGGTCAGAAGAGGGCTTCGGATTCCCCTGGAACTGGAGTTAAGGACAGTTCATAGCAGCCGTGTAGGTCTGGGAATTGAACCCGGGACCTCTGCAAGAGCAGTCAGTGCTCTTAACCACTGAGCCATCTCTCCAGCCCGTTTTACTGTCTTTAAAAATGGAGAAAATGACTTAAGCCAGAGGGAGAAAGAGGCTGTCACTAACTACACCACTTATTATCCACAAACTATCAGACTGCTAGTACTTTAAGAAAATGGACAAAAAGCTTTGCTATCAAGTGTTTCTAAACCTTAAATTTCTTTTTAAAAGATTTATGTGGGGCTGGAGAGATGGCTCAGCAGTTAAGATCACTGGATGCTCTTCAGAGAACCCTGATTCAATTCCCAGCATCCAAGTGTTAGGTAACGGCTGTCGGTAACTCCAGTTCCAGGGGATCTGACATCCTCTTTTGGCCTCTTTGGGCATTGTATGACACAGATACACTTACATACATACAGGCAAAACGCTCATACACATTAAAAGAAATTTTTTTTTAATTTTAAAGATGTGTTTACATGCATGTGTTCATATACATGCCTGTGTAATTATGTAATTAATTGTACATGGGGGTGGTGGTGGCTAGAAAAGGTAATCAGGTGTCCTCTTCTATTCCTCCTTCAAGGCAGGGTCTCTCCCTGAAGCCAGAGCTCAGGTTCTGTTAGGCTGGAAGCCACCAAGCCCAAGGGATCCCCGTCTTAACCCCCCTCAGAATGGCCCAGGAATGTGGGGTATGTGGTGGTGGTGGGGAGTTAGAGGTATATATAAGAAGCCCAGCTTGTTATATGGATGCTGGGATCCAAAATCCAATGTTCATAATCACCTCTCCTGCCTCCTTAACTGCAAAATTTCTGTAATAGTCACTCACATAGGAAATACTAAAAAATAGAAATATCTAGTGCATATTAAAAATGCAGGTTTTCAATAACAGGTTTCTATAAGGATCAGAATTCAGGCCTTCTGGTAATTAGTTTGGTGAAAAAGGAGAATACCAGCTGGCCCTTGGAGGCCTTGTTGAAACTCAAGATCACACAAAGCAATGCTATGCATGCCTGTTTTGTTTCAGATGGGGAGTTGTGGGGGGAGTTCCCAGCCCAGCAAAAGAACATAACTAATACAGGCGGATTAATCAATTTTAGAAGTAAACTAGGCTGGACGGATGTCAGTAAAGAAGCAGGAATTCAGAATGCCTTCAAGACATGGCTAAATTTGGATCAATGCGGTCATTGTCCTTTCATCAGCACCAGTATCAATACTGGAAGCATACAAAATGAGAAGGCTAGAAGATACAATGAGAATTTGATAAAAACATCTTTGTTACAGTTTAACTGTGCTCCCCAATGTTCGTTCAAGTGTTCGAAACTTAATCCCAAAGGAACAGTGTTGGAAGCTAGGTCCCAGTTAAAGGTAGGATTAATGTTAAATGAAGCCTAGCCTGGTGACACAAGCCCCAAATTTTAGCAACTCAAATCTCAGGAGTTGAAGGTAGAGTTTCATAAATTCAAGGCCTGCCTTGGCTATGGTGTAGGTTCAAACCAGCCCTGGGTAACTTAGTAAGGCTGGTCAGCAAAGCAAAAAACACAGAAAGGGTTGAGGATATAGCTGAGCAGCATGCTACTAGTGTTGGAGAGATTCTCAGTTCAATCCCCAGTACAAGCAATTAGCCCTGCCTGGTGGTACGCACCTTTAATCCCAGCACTTGGGAGGCAGAGGCAGGCTGATCTCTGTGAGCTTGAGGCCAGCCTGGTCTACATAGCAAGAACTGACTATTAACCTGAGAGTAGATGTCATTTTACAAAAAGGAGTTCAGTCTTCTCCCGGCTTTCTGCCTTCCACATGGAATGATGCACCATGAATAACCACCCCAGATGCCGAAGACAGGTTCTTAGACCTTCCAGCCTCCAAAACAGAGAACCAAATACATTTCTGCTTATCATAAACTGCCCCATCTGCCCAGGCATGGTGGCCTACACCTTTAATCCCAATACTCAGGAGGCAGAGGCAGAAAGATCTCTCTGAGACTGAGGCCAGCCTAGTCCACATTGCAAGTTCCAGGCAAGCTGAGGTTACAGAAAAATCCTGTCTCTAAAAGACAAGAAAACAAATAAATTGCCCCATCTCATGTATTCTTTTGTAACTGTGTAAAACTGACCAAGATAATCTATATACCCACCAACACGCTATGGTCTAGGGAATAACAGAACACACAGCCAGTCCTCTAGTATGCAGTCTTCTCAAGCTCAGTATTGAGTGACAGGCACACACATAACATGACAAGTTCTACCACTGAGGTATGTAGAAGGAACCATAGAAGGGCCACAGTTTCTACCTCATTACACCTGAAATGCCTACTATACTTCTGGATTGGATCCTTGTGTATAGATGTGAGAAAGGGAACTCGGGATACTTTCTAGCACTCACTAGCAACGGGTTTCATCCCAGCACTACCAAAAAAAACCCTTAAGATTATAATAAACATTCCTTGGGCATCCATTTTCTTTTTTAGCTCACAAATTTATGAGTGAACATTATATTGACTCACCATTACAATATTCATTCTGTATAAGCATATGATCATCTTCTGCCCAGGCAGAGAAATACCGAACCACATGGGAATGCTGTCCAAGTACAGCATGGGCATATACTTCCCTCAAAGCATTCTGCCTAGGAGAAAAATAAGAGATTAACAGAACGGTCAATTATCTCCACCCCCAAGACTAAATCAATTTATCTGAAACATCATAAACATCATAAAATAAATGGAACCTTTTAAACTATCAGTATGCTGAAAAGTAATTTGCTTAAGCAAACTAAGAATTATGAAGCCTGACAAAGTGGCATACTTTTGTAATCCCACAACTTGGCAAGCTGAGGTAAGAAGATGAGGAATTCATGGTCATCCTCAGTTCATGGCCAGCCTGAGCTACATGAGACCCTATCTCCAAAAACAAAAACAAAAATTCAGTGTTTATCTAAAACTTCAATCTCTGTAATACAGAAGACAGAAACAAAAAACAAACATGTTTAATACATACTCATCAACAGAGCCAGCCAATGGCTTTTTTGACCGCTTAATGGCATAAATGCATCCATCTAGCCTCTTCACACACTTAAACACAGAACCAAATTCTCCAGAACCAATTTTTTCCAGCTCATGAAATTCTGTTGTATACCGTGACTTCATATTGCTTTCAGTAATTGTAATTCTCTGTAATAAAAAGCGGTACCCAT